TGGACAGTTTTTTTTTGTTTTTTATCCCAAGGCCCGTCGAAGGCCCCCAGGAGGAGGCAGACTGAGAAAGACCAGTCGAAGTCTATGGTTCAATCGGTTGGATAGTTTTTTTGTTTATTTTCTTGTTTGTTTGTTTATTGTTGTTGTTGTTGTTGTTCTCTGTGTGTTTTTGTATTATGTATTGTGATTCGTGTTATTGCTGTTGTGTTTGTTTGGTTTGTTTTGTTTTGTTGATTTTTATATACGTACAAGATACATGTTAAACACACGTATTTGTTTAAACAAGAAGTGGGCCACACAAGCAAACCACATATGTTTGTTTTCGTTTTCATGGAGCACCTGCTCCCTGGGAAGCCGGGCGCCGTCCACGGCGCCGCAGAGGCCCTCGGCCTCAACCAAGAGCTTGCGCCCAGTCTCGGCCTCGAGCTGCAGGCGGCGGCTCTGGTACACCCTCTCCTTCGCTTGCGCTGACCCGACAAGGTGAGGGCATTGGGTAAGGATCCAATGGACAAGGAATCCTGGGTTTCGAGGCCGGTGGAACTCTAATCGAGGCTTGGCCATGGATACCACCGCCGCCCTCATCAGATAAGGAGTCCTCCAGGGTCCGAAGCCCCCCGGGCACATTCCTGAACGAGCACCCCAACCGTACGCAACACGCAACCTGGAGCGTCTTGACACGGAACCCAACACGTATCGAGAAAACAGCTGCTGACACAAACAACAACTTTCGGAGGTCCGCGCGGATTTCCCGGGTCAGCGCTGGCGGCCCCCCGGGCGGCGCTTCTCCGGCGCTGCCCCCGACGCGGATTGAAACCTGAGGCCTCTGGCGCGACACGTCCGCCCACGACGTGGGTCAGCACACGTGCTGCACGCCAACACGCAGCGTGTTTCAGCCCAGACGCTTTCTAACACGGCACGTGCTGCGCCTCAACACAGGCACATCGGGGCAGCTGAGCTAGGGAAACAAACAATGACATAGATATTGAAACTCGGAGGTCCGCGCGGATCCAAGAAGTCCGCGTGGACCTCCGAGTTTTAATGCTTATGTCGTTGCTCGTTCTCCTATCAGCACACGCGTATCAGGGCAGCGGAGCTCCTTCGCCATGAGCGGGATCACGAGGCGGTCGATGGCGCTGTGGGCTGCCCTCAGGTCGCCCATGGCGCGCGACTCCTCCAGGACCAGCTGCGCCTCCTCTGAAGGGGCCCAGGGACACACAAATAGATACACGCAAATTCCACCATGCCCGTGTATTTTCCTATATTTTCTAGGTCTTCGTCTTACCCCTCCCACTTCCCATATTTTCTTGGGAATCGACGATTACTTGTGTCTGTGTGTTTTTTCCCCTGCCGATCCTCGAAGTTCTCGCGCGCGCCGGCCTCGTCGCTGGACCGCTGCGCGGCGGTCTGGGGCAGGTCCTGCTCCTGCGAACCAGGGCGCTGGGCGCGTACGCTCGCGACCTCGTCCTCCACGTGGGCGATGCCAGGAGAACGAAAAATGGAATAAACATGAGAATTCGGGCGTGTCCCTCTACAGGAGGAGGAGGAGGAGGAGGAGGAGGAGGAGGAGGAGGAGGAGGAGGAGGAGGAGGAGGAGGAGGAGGACTATGTCTACGAACGCGACAACGAGACGACGTCTCCTCCCTCTCACCCCAGCGAGGCCGACGAGGTCCTCGCCCAGCGGCTGGGCCCTCTGTGCGAAGATAAACAAACGCGTTCCACTACTCGCGAAGTAGCTACTCGCAAATGGCCTGAATCCGCCGCGGGGGATCTAATCCATAAATATAGATATATGTAGATATGTAGATATGTATGTATGTATGTATGTATGTATGTATGTATGTATGTATGTATGTATGTATGTATGTATATGTATGTATATGTATGTATATGTATGTACATGTATGTATGTATGTATGTATGTATGTATGTATGTATGTATGTATGTATGTATGTATGTATGTATGTATGTATATATGTAAGAATATACTTTATGTATATATATATACACACCAGCGAGGCGAACCAGTGTGTGTGTGTGTGTGTGTGTGTTCGGACGTTTGCGGCTAGGTACTTTGCGAGTAGTGGAACGCACTCGGTGAGAAGAACTGCAGAAACATTACTCCGACGGTAGGACCCCGCATGAGAATCCTCGCGGCGAATCTGGACATAACCCTCATCGTCGTCCTCGTGATGTTGAGGTGTCCATACTGTCTCCTCTGCGTCGTTCTCCTCCTCGCCCTGGCGCAGGCAGCCCTCCCTCTGCCTACGTTGTCCTCTCTTCGTTTCCTTATATAAGCAAATACCCCCCGCCATCTCCTCCCCTACGGCATGAGCGCGCATTTCGGTTTTCCTGGGCGTCGTCGCTGCCTCGGCCAACACGGGCGCAATCTCTAATTGCCGCATTGCGCCGCAGCCGTTGGGACAACCCAGAGGCCAGGGGCTCGCACAGGGGCCCTCGCCGTCGACTGAGTGATAAGCAGCTGTGTGGCCAGAGGCTCGCACAGCTGACGAAGCCAGAGGCTCTCGCCGACGCTGGCTTGATCATACAGAAGTCGTGCGCGGCCAAACGCTCGCATACCTGACGAGGCCAAGGGCTCTCGCCTCGATGCGACACCCGCAACCCAGCGCGGCCAGAGGCACGTGCAGATGTCGATGCCAGCGGCAGTCGCGGGACCCCTGCTTTGGATCCGCAACCAAGACGCCCCAATAGCCCCCCAGAGCCCAACAATCCCCGAACAGCCCCAACAAAACCCCAGAAATGACACCACGAAGCCCCGTCGCCCGGGAAAACATTCCAGGAGGCTCCCAGGACGCCTTCCATGAAGCCCCCAAACAGCCCCGGCGTCGCCACGGCATGGTTCGGGCCCGTGGGCCCGTGACAGTAACAAATTCGGCGACGACCAGCTCGGACAAGGCTACCTGCAATTCACTCGCAAACGAGGCTCCCGCCTCATACTTCCCCAAGATTCATGCCTCACGAGCCCAAAAGTAACGACAGTTGCAGGAGGCCGATGACCCGCTCGGATTACTCATATGAACTGCGGGCTCCATATGGAAGGGGCTCCCGCCTGAGACTTCCTTGCAATTCACTCACAGGCGAGGCTCCCACCTGTCCCACCTGATACTTCCCCAATTTTCAAGTTTCAAGGGCCCCAAAGTGACGACAATTACAAGTTTCCGATGCCCGCCTCGGATTCGAACGTGAACTGCGGGCCCCATGAAGAGGGAACTCCCGCCTGAGACGTCCTCGCAATTCACTCACAGGCGAGGCTCCCGCCTGATATTTCCACCGTGTTCAAGCTTCTGGAGCCAAAAAATGACGACAATTACAAGTTTCGGATGACCCGCCTCGGATTCGAACATGAAGTGCGGGCCCCATAGGGAGGGGGCTCCCGTCTGAGACTTCCTCGCGATTCACTCACAGACGAAGCTCCCGCCGGATACATCTCCCAGATTCATGCCTCAGGGGCTTAAAAATGACGATCGTTGCAGGAGGCCGATGACCAGCCTCGGATTCGAACATGAAGTGCGGGGCCTCAGGGGCCCAAAAGTGACGACAATTGCAGGAGGCCGATGACCCGCTTGGATTACTAACGTGAACTACGGGCCCTATAGGGAGGGGTCTCCCGCTTGAGACTTCCTTGCGATTCGCTCACAGACGAGGCTCCCGCCTGATACTTCCTTTAAATTCAGGCCTCAGGGGCCCACAAATGACGACAGTTGCAGGAGGCCGATGAGCCGCTTGGATTACTCATATGAGCTACGGGCCCCATTGGGAGGGGGCTCCCGCATGAGAACTCCTTGCAATTCACTCACAGACGAAGCTCCCGCCTGACACGTCCTCAACATGAATGTGTGCGCGTGTGAGTGATGACGATGTGAATGGTAATGGCGATGTGAATGATGATGATGATGATGATGATGATGATGATGATGATGATGATGATGATGATGCTGATGCTGATGCATGTGATGTGAGTAGTGATGATGATGACGATGTGTGTGATGATGATGCTGAGGAGGTGGTGGTGATGATGGTGTGAGTGATGGAAAGAATCATGGTGGTAATGCTGTAGCGAATGATGATGAAGAGGTTGGTGGTGTTATGATGGTGATGGTGTGTGGCTCATTGAGTCAGTGAGTGCGCAAAGGGCGAGAAGCTCATGAGGTCTGTATCGGCTCATTGAGTGAGTGAGTGAGTGAGTGAAGACGACGGTGATGATGTTGACGAAGATGTGTGTGAGTGAGTGGGTCGTAGGTGGTGAGTGAATGTGTGGGTAAAGGAGTGATGCTGAGTGAATGTGAATGTGTGAGCGAGTGAGTGAGTGAGTGTGTAAGTGATGATGATGTGGTGGTGATGATGCTGATGATGCTGATAATGATGCTGATGATGCTGCTGCTGGTGATGCTGATGATGATGCTGATGCTGATGCAGATGATGATGATGATGATGATGATGATGATGATGATGATGATGATGATGCTGATGCTGATGATGATGCTGATGGTGATGATGGTGATGGTGATGATGGTGATGATGGTGATGCTGGTGATGGTGATGGTGATGGTGATGATGATGATGATGATGATGGTGATGATGATGATGATGATGAATGATGATGATGATGATGATGATGATGATGATGATGATGATGATGATGATGATGATGATGATGATGATGATGATGATGATGATGATGATGTGAGTGTGTGCGTGTGTGAGTGAGTGTGTATGTGATGAGTGAGCGAGTGAGAAGAGAGGGGGTGTTCCTGTGTGTTCCTGCGCGGGGTGTTCAGAGAAAACAAGAACCTCACTTCGGATGTGGGGAATAAAAACTCGGAGGTCCGCGCTGGTTTCTCGGATCGCCGCTAGACCGCTCTGGCGGCGCCTCCGGCGCCGCTCCTGGCGCGCTCCGCGCGCCAGGGAGGGGGGTCCAGCGCGGATCCGAGGAATCCGCGCGGACCTCCGAGTTTTTATGCTTATGCCATTGTTCGTTCCCCTAGATGCGACGCTCCAGGCTGGCGGGCACCTGGGTCCCGAACTCCATCTTCGCGAACTTGTGCTCGAGCTCTTTGAGCCGACGCTCCGCCTGATCCTTGGCCGCGCGGAGCTCCTCCTTCTCCTGCTCGATCAGCTCGATCCTTTGCTCCATCTGCTCGAATCTGAGCTCCAGGGTCGCGTTCAAGGCGCCGCTCTGGTGGAACTTCTGATTCACCATGCCCGCCGTGACCTCGCCCTCGCTGGCCGCCGCGGCGCCCAACCAGAAAGCATCGGACAACTGGCCCTCTACGCCTAGGGGAAACGAACCACCCACGGAATCCATAACACTTCTCGGAGGCCCGCGTGGATCTCTTGGATCGGTGCTGGACCCGCTGGCGCGTTCCGTCGATCCAAGACACCCGCGCGGACCTCCGAGCAATCATGCTTCTGCCGCTCCTTTTTTCTTTGCTCTTCGAGTGCCGTCTGCGGAGCCAGCCTCGCGCAGCCTGGGTGCGCTGCCGTCCGCCCGCTGGAGCTCCACGAGACCGCTGGCTGCAGAGCCCGCCTCGCGCTGCACCGGCGCTCTGCCGTCCACCTGCTGGAGCGTCATGGCGCCGCCGGCTGGCGCATCGGCTGCGCGCCCGTCGGGTGCACCGACGTCCGTCCGCGGGAGCTCAGCGGCGTGGCTGCTGGCCTCGGGCGAGCACCCCCTCCGGAAGAGCTCCCCCCCGAGCCCTGCAGGGCGGATGCGGCTGGTTCGCGTCGGGCTGTCGCGGGCGTTGGCTTCTAACGCCGCGTGGATCGTGCAGCCTTGCACGATCGCGGCTCTCCTTTCGCGCAGGTCGTTCGCGGGCGTTGGTTTCTGACGCCGCGTGGATCGTTCAAGCTTGAACGATCGCGGCTCTCCGATCGCGCAGGTCGTTCGGCGTTTAACCTCGAGCGCTCGCGCTGGGGTCGCCGTCGCGTCGACGCAGCGCCAGCCTACCGTAGGAGTGATGCGCTTGCCCCGTCGGGGGGAAGCCCAGCCGCCCACAGGTCCTTGTGCGATGATTGGACGATGCTCCGCCCCAAAGCGTGAGCGCGACAATTATTGCGTGCCTTGAAGGCAGCAAACGAAGCCGCAAGCCAGCAGGAAACGCAAAACACCCGAATAGCGTGCGCCAGCCAAGGAGCACCATTCATAAAGGGACAAGGCCGGGAGAAAAACGCGAAGACAGCGGCAATCATGTCCAGCAGTCGTAGAGCACTAGCCACAGAGCGCCACCTGTGGAGCGCCAGTGCAAGCACGCGAGCACAGCAGCCATCACATACATCATAGGGCAACAACCATGGAGCACCACTCAAAGAGCACCAGCGCAAGAACGAACAATCGCAATATTGAAGGCACCAAGAGGCACAGACTGTATGAGCCAATACATGTGGCAGAATGGCAGTGACGAACATTCGCGACACCCACGGCATCACAGTGCACAGCCCATAGAGTCTATAGAGCGCAACCCATGAGGTAACAAGGGCGGGAACGAGCAGTCTTTGCACTCACGGCATCATGGGGCGCCCCTCTGCCTCCTGCGGCGGCGAGCGGTGCTCGAGCGACAGCGCGGCGCCCACCGCGAGCAGCGCGGGGGGGAGCAACGCGCGCATGGCTCCAACAGTCTGGCCGGCCGGGAGCTCCGCGGACAGCCCAGAGATGGGGCCACGGCACAGGAGCACGTCTTTTTTGGTTCGCGATAGCGGCCGTCACTAGACAAGCGCGCTCCACTACTCGCAAAGTAACGAATCGCACGCAGTCTGGATCCGCCATGGGTGACTTACGATCCATCACATCGAGGCAGACGTTTTTGTTTTGTTGTTGTTGTTGTTCTTATTTGGACGTTTGCGAGTAGGCACTTTGCGAATAATGGAACGCGCTCGGTGATTTACGGTTCGCAATAGCGGCCGTCACCGGGCAAGCTCCCCCCCTCCCCCTCCATCTGGTACCATCGCGGTTCGCGCCAACGCCGGTTGGGAACGACTACGGGTACGTAGATCCCAAACGGTGCCGGCGCGAGAATCGTGACGCTACCGGCCCCGTCGCCCCCCCCCCCCCCCCCAGTAGCAGCCGTTATCGCCCGGGGATTAAAACAAAAACTAGCCCCAAGCGGGGGGTGGGGGTGGGAGCGGAGTTTCGGGCTCCAAGTTTGCGATTCTCGGACGGTTCCCGTCAGCACTGCGCGGCTCTCCAGACTCGGGGTGCTCTCCTGCAGTTAGCTGCGCCTCGCCGAGGGCGCTCTTGGGGGTGCCTTGCCGCCGCGAAGGGCCGCTGGAGGTCCGGAGCATGGCATGGAAACGCAATCTCCGACGAGCTGCTTCTCTCAATCTGGGCCCCTTTTCCTCGATGGTTCGGCCTGTGAGCCCGCTCTCGGGCCCCAGGGCCATCACTGGAGGGCAGACGATCCACCCCGAGAATAACCACTCCGACACGCGAGGCCGTTCAGCAAACGCACCCAAAGAGGGAACCAAACACAGGGCTGTTTAGGAAACGCCCAGGGCCGTTTAGCAAACGCCAATTGTCCGGTCCGGGTGTTTTTTCCTCCCTTGAACCAAGCACGGGTCTGGGCGAAGAGCTGGCCCCCGTGGCAGGGGTCGGGACCTCTGGGGCGGCGCACGGCGCAACAGAATTCTGTGATCAGATGCCCGGGTGAGCGGGCGACCCCCATGCTCGAAAATCACGGCGCGTTTTCTTTTCTCGGGCGGGTGGTAATGGGGGGTGCCCTCCCCCCCAAAACGGGATCTCCCGCACCCGTGGCCGCAGGGGCCCAGTGGACGCTCCTGCGAGAGGCCCCCTGGGCTTTCCAGAGTTTCTGGAAGCCCCTCGGAAGGCCCCTGCTGGGCCTGGGCAACGGGCCCAAATCGGTCAGTAGGGCGGCCGAGCGGCCTCCCGAGGGCCCCAAGAGGCCCCAGACACCCAACAGACGCCCGAAGACGACCCAAAGAAGATCCCCTAAGAGGCATTCCAAACTCAGGAGAAACATGGATTTTCAATTGTTCTCGGATGATCTTGGGAACGCCCTGTTCTTCGTTCTTCTGGGCGTCCGAGACCGCCAAGGAGGCCCGACAATCGCTTCCAAAGTACCCGAAAAGGGCTTCCAGGCAGTCCACGAGAGCCCCGAGACGGTCCAGCAGGGCCCCAAGATGGCCCGAAGAGAGCCCCATGACGGCCCCAGATGGCCCCAAAATACCACACGAAGCATTCCAAATGGTGACAGGGCCCTTCAGGGCGACCGCGGTTGGAAGCAGGGTGGCCCGAGGAAGCCTGCAGAAGCTTCCAGAAGGCCCCAAGACGGTCTTATACATTTTCGTGAGGCCCCCAAGAGGCTCTCCAAGGAGGAAGCTCCGCAGAAAAACAAAGGAGAATGGGGAATAATTCTCAGGGTAGGGTGATACTGAGGAAGACGAATAGACACATGAGTCACATGAGGGAACAACAACGAATCATCTTCTTATAATGACGATGTCCGAGAAGGCAAGATCGAGTTATGGCTACATGTTATGTTTTCCCTTCCTGCCCTTCCGCCTGCATGCTTGGCTTCAATGACCAAGGTGCATGGCGCGACGCGCCACTGCAGTCTTGAATATATATATATATATATATATATATATATATATTTATATATATATACACATAAATACACAGATATGCGATCCTGACCAGGCGCACCCTGGGACCAGAATTGGTGCATACGCCCTCCTGGCCAAACCAAGACCGATTCTTGGCCCAGGATGGGCTTCGCTCGTCCCGATCCCTGGCTTCCGCCGCCCTTGATGGGTGAACGTGAAGGGGGCGCCGGCTCAGTGGGGAGCATCGACCTGGAATCGGCGATGCGTCGACGAAAGATCGGCGACGGGCCCCCCGCACGTTCCTCGTCAGGGTGGGCCATCAGGCCCCCATCGGCGATCAGTGGGCGATTGGGGGTCGATGCGTCCCCCCTGAGCCTGTCCCCGAACGTTGCCCCTGACTCTTCCTTCCTGTAGGTCGCCCATCCTCGCGCATCGCGCCCGCGATCGTCTTCGCGCCCTCGCGTCGCAACCGTGGAGAAGTGCAGACGCTCTGGCCTAGACCGCGACGCGCGAAGCGCGATCACCTTCGGCGTTGCCCCTGGTTCGGCTGCACGCAAGAGTGACCCTGGGCAAGGGTGCCCTCTGGTGCGCGGCTTCAGGGGGGGGGGGGGGCGCCAGGGGGCCGAACACAGGCGCGCAAGCCGCTGCTGTCGCGCCGCGCTCCACGATCGGGGAGGCCCCGATGAGCCCGCGCCAAAAGCCACTCGGGCGAAGGGTCACTCTGACGTGTGCTCGACCGATCCCTCGGCGTGAGCCTTCACTGGGCTCTCCACTCGTTGGGCGCGCGGGCGGCCAGCCCGCCCCCCCCCCGCACCCGAGGGCGAGCCCCCGCCCGCGCGGCGCCGCGGCGGCGCGGCAGGGCGGCCCGCGGGCGCGAGAGGGCCTTCTCGGGAGGTTCGGTACGCGCAAGGGGGGCTGGCGAGATCGCCCCGGGCAGGGGCAGTCCGAGCCAGCACGGCCGCGTCCGCGGCGGCTGGCGAAGGAGGGAGGCGGAGGCAATGCGAGGAAGACGGGGGCGAGGAGGAGAGAGGAGACGGAGGAGGGGGAACGAGCGACTCGCAGGAACAGTTCCGAGCGTCACCGCGCCCAACGTCGGATCCTCGACACCTTCAGCGATGATAAATGCAACTTGACGTAGAAGATCATAACTTCTTAGCGGTTCCGGGGGCCACTTCTGGAATATGGTAAAGCTTGGGCGCTTGTGCATGAACAATCCCCGCATGACTTATATGCCCGCTCATTGAAGTAGCCCGCGACACCTAGAACTTCATGATCATTGTAAGATGAAGGCTGCGTAGCACACGCACGGTGCCACGATGCGAAACACACGCTATGAGATTGTGGCACTCGCAAACCCACCAAGACCGAACCGTCAGTCATACTCAGGATCTGGAACGGCGATGTGTGCCACAACGAAACTGCGGGGGACGCCATTGCCTTTGAGGGCATCGTCGCGGGCTTTTTCACTCCCCGCCGGCCGTCGGTTGAGGCAGCGACGAGGGCCTCGACCCCGCCGTGGCGGGCGCCCGAGAAGAACCACAGCTGCCTTGCGGCGTGCTTTGCCACCAAAGCGCTCCGCGTCCAACGCCTCGAGGCCCCGGCTGGGACACCGCAGGAGCTCGGCGTCGCGCCCCCCCGCAGCGCACGCCGCAGCACAGAAGCGTTCTGCTCCCGTTCGAGTAGGGGGTCGACTGCAGAATTGGTTTACCCCCAACATATGGATTGTCTCGTCGAATCTACGAGGCACACGTGGCATGCTCGTAGATATACGAGCAGTCTGCTCATGTTTCGTCGAGTCGCCGAGAAAACCAAACTCGGGGGGAGGAGGAGGAGGAGGAGGAGGAGGAGGAGGCGAGTCGTCGTGCAGTCGATCTCCTGCTCGACCCGTGCCCCCTGCGGCGTGCGAGCACGCCGCCGCGGGGATCTCGACCGCGCCGCGGCGGACTCCGCTGAGTCACGGGGAGGCGCCTCCTGGAGCGCCTCGAGGGCGGCTGCGGGCGCGCGAGCCGGGCCGGCAGGCTTGGGTCGGGCATGTCCTCCTGCAGGCGGACCGTGGACGAAGAATTCAAGATACTCAGGAAATGCTCAAACATGATACAACGATTATCCAAACATCGTCTTCATTTTTGACCATTTTCGAACACTCCTCCTGTAGAGGGACGGGACATGACCGACTGAACGCAAGGTGGGCCGGGCCCGCGCGGATCGGAGGCTGCTGCGGCGCATGCCCCCTCCCTGGCTTTGCCTCTGCTGCGTGCGAACAAAATGATCGAGTACACGCAAGAGTGGACCTGGGTAAAAGTGACCTTTGGTGCGCGGACCAAGGGGGCGCAGTGTGGCCAAGTCCAAGCGTGCAGGCAACCGCTATCGCATCGCGCTCAGCGATCGGGTGGACCCAGATGAACCCGCACCAGAGGTCACTCCGGCCAATGGTCACTCTTACGCGTGATCGAAATGATCATGTTTGCCCTGCCACTCCTGGTTCGCTGCCCGTGTTTGAGCTGTGCTTCAGCACGCGCGTACAACATCTGCACGGTCGGAGCGTGCTCAGCCGCCCGCGGCTTCCTCCTCCCCCGCGCCCTTCCCTCCTTCCCTTGTGCCCAATGCGGTGCTTCCAGTGCAGCCCACAGCTCGCTTTGGCGCCCGCGGGCCAAGAACCTTGAGCCCAATGCGGCTCCGATGTGCCCTGGGCTGTCCCGACCGCGTCTTGGACCCAAGCCGTCGCTGACAACAAAAGGTGTGCGAAAGCAGCCCCGCACTCTGGTGCAAGCTGTCGGCGCTGGGCCCCTGGTAGCGGCCAGAGTGTGGACAACCCAGACAGTGCCCCCTGCGACCAGGGCCTTCCTCAACTCTCTCCCAGGGGCCACGCCGCGCCGAGGCAGTCAGGGGGCAAGAGCGCGGGAGGGGTGGTACAGTGAGGGAGGGGAGCGAGGATCCGGCAACAGAGGCACGCGGCAGGAGAGCGAGGAGGGGGCGAAAGGGGTAGGGAGGAGGAGGAGGAGGAGGAGGAGGAGGAGGAGGAGGAGGAGGAGGAGGAGGAGGAGGAGGAGGAAAAGGAGGGGGAGGAGAAGCAGGAGGAGGAACAAGCGTGTTGGGCGACGGGGGGGCGGGGGGGGGCGCGGAAGGGGCCCGCGTGCTGCCCCCGGGCGCCTCGCTCGCGGCGATGGAGGCGGCGCGCCCGGGCTGCCACGGCAACCTCGGCCCAGCGAGGGGGGGAAAGGGGTTGGAGGTCTCGGCTCCACCCCCTCCGCGTGTCCTCCACCTCCCTCCCTCCCTCCCCTCTCCTCCCTTTTGCCCTGCCTCTCCGCCAGCGGGACCGCCCAGCGCACGGACCGTAGGCAGGCCCTCCTGCAACACTCCACGGCGGCGAACGACCCGCAGGCGCTCCAACACCGCGCCAACTAGCTAGCGCTCTCCCTCCACCATCTACAGGAACAATCAGCCCCGCTGTTCGACAAGGTCCACCGAATGAAAGAGGCCTGGAGCGGCCGGCAGCAGGCCTTCCGGCCCGCCGCCGCTATGGGGGCACCCCTCCCTGGCGACCTCCAAGCCTTTTTCGCCGCTCAGCGGACGGCGTGCCTGTGCTGGCCCCGCCTCCTCTCCCGCGGGCCACGGGCGCACTTGGCGCCTGTGCCGTCGTCCGCTCTTCTCGTGAACGGTCCTAAATTTCAGCCGCGGGGGTGCAGAGGGGCCCCGTGGCGGCCTGTTCGCCGCCGCCCGCCCTTCTTTCCAGCCGGGGTCCCCGGGGCCGCGCCCCCATCGCCCCTGCTACATGCGCGCGGCACCTCCCGACAGAAGAGGCCGGCCCGCGCGTCGCTCGTCGTAGCCGCGGGTCCTGGCGATCTTTGGCTCGTCTAGCCGTCGCGATCTTTCCTCTATGCCTTTTCTCCCGTTCTTGTTGCCACGAAGCAACATTTTGGAGGGGGCGGATGGCGGCGAGGCGTCGGAATGAAACCGCACGTCGTCTAGGTGGGTGTCCAGGCAACTCCACGGAACCACCGGCAGCAAAGCTGAACAGATGCGGGACGTCTCCCCCCGTCTGGTCTGGTCTGGTCTGGTCGCGCGCAACCACATGGGGCGCGTTGCGCCGATGCCCTGGGCAAAAGGCAGGCGCGGCCCCGTCCCAAATAGGGCTCTGGCAGTGGGGCAAATACCTCTCTCTCTCTCTCTCTCTCTCTTTTTTTCCTGACATCCTCCCAGATCATTCGCATTGCTGGCGCACGCTGTGCGGTGAAGGCATTTTCTCACCTCTGGCCCTGAAGGGGCTTTCTCGCAATTGAATTCTGGGGGACGCCACGCACGGCGCCGTGGAGGGACCCACAGGGGGCCAACGCCAACAGCCTCGGCCCCAGCTCAGCCCCGTGGGCTAGGGGTCAACCTCCTGACGCTGAGCGGCCCTCGCCGCTCTCTCGGCCACCGCACAACGGCCACGAGCACGAGCCTCCTCGGCGGAGGCGAAACCGAAAGAGGCCAGCACTCCGTCGAGTGCTGGCGTGATGAGCTGCTGCGCAGGCCGACCATCCGACACGGCGGCAGGCTGCGCCGAGGGTGGGCCTTGGGAGCAGGCCGGTCCCTCGAAAGCGTCCGAGATGCCCGGCGCCTGCGCCTCCCTGGCCCTGGTGGCCGCCATGGGCTAAGCCTACTCGGAAGTGCCTGGCAGCACTCGCCTCGAGAAGTCCGTGCGCGTCTGGGCCCTCGACCCTTGCGACGACCTGCCGCCTGAGCCTGCACACGCCTTGGCCAGACCTCGGGCAATGCGGGCACTGAATGAAGAACCATTGGATAAATAATCCATGGTCGGGAAGCTGGTGAAACTCCAACCGAGGCTCGGCCTCGGATATCACTGCCGTCTTCATCAGATAAGGAGCCCCCCGAGGTCTGAAGCCTCCTGGGCACATTCTGTAACGAGGGCCCCCCATCGTACGTGACGCGCGGCCCTTCCTTTGCGTGGCGCCGTTCGGGCTGGGACGGCCCGTGGCGGTGCAAGCTCCAGCGGGCCCAACAGGATGCGGGCCGGTGGCGCGAACGGGCAGAGCTGCGGGCCGACCGAACGATCCGGCCTCGGCTCTCGGGCGGAGTGCGGTGCCGTGCAAGAGCAGCCAGCGAGCTCGCCGAGGCCACCGTGAGACTGCTCGGGCAGTCTGGGGCTCGCGGGCATGGCCTTGTCAGTGTGTTCCGCTCTGCGAGGCTTTCCTGCGTGGCCGGCGGAGGTGCGGCAGGCGTTGGAGCACGGCGCAGCGCCGAGCTGCGTGCTGTGATGCCTCAGCGGAGCCCATGGCAACTGCAGCTCGTCATGGCCGCCTCACCATGCAGAGTGGGTCTAACCTTGGGGTGCGGGTCCACCACCTGTGCGCGCCGCCATGACCTCGGAATGCCAAAGCTAAGGTATTGGCTCCTCCGACGGGACACATACGTGGCCCCGGCTTGCTGGTCGCAGGTGAAGAGCATAAGAGCGAATCATCCATCGACATGGTCACGCCGCCGGTCGACGTCAGCGTCCCAACCGTTGTCGACACTAAGGTGGATGTGGACATCACCTTTGACCTCTGCTTAGTCAGCTCTCATGAGAGGATACTTGCCGTGGAGGCAGTCAACCCAGTCCAGGAAACTATTGGGGCGAAACATATTGAAATCAATTGGCAAAGAGATGTGACATCCACCGGGAGCATTGCGGAGGTAGTGCCGCAGCTGGTGGACGGCAAAGGCACAACTTCCATCGACACGGTCATGCCGATGGTCGATGGTAGCGTCCACCCGAGAGGTTAGACAATGTAGAGGAGGCCTGCGATCTGGACATCTGCTTGAACCGCTACAAGGACGTGCTCATGCCCAGGGCCAAGGAGGCAGAGGACCATGTCCAGGACAACACCAAGACACGCACGAGCAAACGGGATCCACCAACGCCATCGCGGAGGGGGTGCCGCAATACGTGGAGGACGCGCGGGTCATGAAGAAACTGCGCACACTGCCGAGCAGTAGATCGGGAGCTCCGAGAGGGGCGAGCAGGGCCCAACATCGATCTTGAATCACCCTTCAAGAAACGGGATACATCTGGCTGCGACGCACATCCCAATATCTGGAGACATATACATATGTATGTATGTATGTATGTATGCATGTATGTGTATGTATGTATGTATGTATGTATGTATGTATGTATGCATGTATGTATGTATGTATGTATGTATGTATGTATGTATGTATGCATTTATGTAGTTATGTGTGTATGTGTGTATGTGTGTATGTATGTATGTATGTATGCATGTATGTATGTATGTATGCATGCATGTATGTATGTATGTATGTATGTATGTATGTATATATGTATGTATGTATGTATGTATGTATGTATGTCTATGTATGTATGTCTATGCATGCATGTATGTATATGTATGTATATGTATGTATATGTATGTTTATGTGTGTATATGTATGTGCATGTATATGTATGTATGTATGTATGTATGTATGTATGTATGTATGTATGTATGTATGTATGTATGTATGTATGTATGTATGTATGTGTGTGTGTATGTAGGTAGGTAGGTAGGTATGTATGTATGTATGTATGTATGTATATACACACATATCTATACACATACATGTATATATATATATAGGTATGTATGTATGTATGTATTCCTCTTCCTCTATGTTTACAAGCCCGGGCGGGCCCCCCCCAAAAACGGGACTCCCGGGATCTGGGGCTTTGGGACCCTCCGGACCGGCCTCGAAGCGGCCCCCCGGGCCTCGCAGGGCGTTTTGCCAAGCCTTCCCAGCACACATAGATCATGGGGGTCATCGGAGAAGTCCCAGAGACCCCCAAGACAGCACAAGAGCGCTCCAAGAGTGACCGACGTGACCTCCAGATGACCCCAGAGGCCTCCAGGACGGCCCCAAAGGCTTCAAAAGCCTCCAAGAGCACTCCCAAGAAGGCCCCAACAGGCACACATCATTGACTTTCTGCGGGTTGTTGATGAATTTTGGGGGTTCTCCTCGTTTCGACTTCCCGACGCTCCAATACGGCAGTCTTCTGGGCCAACCATCCGAAAAGGCTTCCAGGCAGTCCAAGAGAGCCCCAAAGCGGCACATCAAGGGTCAAAGATGGCCCTAAGAGAGCCCCATGGCGGCCCAAGAAGGCCCCAAGATACCCTCCGAAGCATTCCAGATCGTGACCCGGTCGTTCAGGCAGACCGCGGTTGGAGGCAGGGTGGCCCGAGGAAGCACCCAGAACCTCCAGAACACGCCCAGGAGGCCTCCAGAAGGCCTTAAGAAAGCCTGAAACTTTTGTGAGGCCCCCAGAGGCTCTCCGAGGAGGAGCCTCCGCAACAAGAGCTGAGGAGGATAGGGAAAATGCGAAGGGTATGGCGAGAACGAAGAAAAATAAGCATGGAGGAAGGATAACGAATAACATCATTTTAGCGGCGATGCTGGAACGGCAAGAAGGCTAAATTGTCGGCTTGACCTTCCTGCCGTTCCGCCTGCATACCAAACTTCAAGGACCAAGGTGCATGGCGCGAAGCGCCACTGCAATCTTGTAGTTATATATTTATGTATATATCTGCATATCCGCGGAAGAGTATGCTAATCTAGCTTTCTTCTTCGATCCAGGAGGAGCCTCCACCCTGGCGAAGGCTGGGTGGCCGCGGCCGCAGCCAGCAGAACTCAAGCTTGCACCACGCTCTCTTGCACCGCCGTCATCCCAAATACCGTCGGCCGCGCTCGTTCAACCACATTTCGCTCTTCCCAATTCTCCCAGCAACCGCTACTCTTGCACTTGCGCGGTTTGCACTGCAGCTGTGCTCTACCGGCAACGGAGTTTGTGGCTATCACGGTCGGGGGGCTAAACTCACGGCCGCCGCCAAGGCGAGATCGTCCTAGTACCGATCGCTGCAACCGCCTCTAGCTGCCGTTTCTTCAGCCCGCCGCTGTCGCCATCGCGTCCCCTTCTACGTCTCCTTCCTCGAGGTCATTCGTCAATTCTCCATCTGCCTTCCTCTCTCTCTCTCTCTCTCTCTCTCTTATATGCTGTCGATTATCTGTTACTTTATAGTCTTTCGATTTCCCCACCAGCCGGCGACAAGAGTCGCCTGGCCAACTGATCCCACCAACCATCGGGTCGTAGGTGGTCTAGAGAGCTTTCTCTGCCAACCGTCTTCTTCACCTTCGGGCAGGGGCTTACCCCTCTCCCAACCCCCTCCCTTGGACCTGGAGGGGGGGAAGATGGCCTAACATGGCGCTAGGAGGGCCTCGGAGAACCCATCATGACCTCCCAAATGACCCAGGATAGCCCGAGATGGCTCCAAATGGCTCCCAAGATGCTCCAAGACGGCTTCGAATGGCCACGGAGCCTCCCCAGGAGGCTGCGAAGAGGCGAGAATCCTTCAAACACCTAAGGGACATCAATGAATTTGACTTTTCGCATTCTTGCTTCCGATGGCGTTCCGAAGCCTCAAGATAGCTCCAAAATGGCCCACGAGGGCCCTAAAAGAGGCCCAGAAGCGCCCCAAGAGGGGCCCAAGAAACGATTTTTGGGGTTTCCCATCTTTTTTGATCGGTCTCCGCCGAGATGGCCCACAGAGCGCCCCCAAGGCTCCCAAGAGCGCCTCAAGAGGGCCCCAAGAGGCGCCCAGGAGGACCCAAGAGGCTCCCCGCGGCACCCAACACGCTCCAAGAGGCATCCGGGACCGCCACGAGGCCAACAAAACGCTCCAAGAGGCCCACTTCCTTGATCGAGGCAACTCCTTCGGGCATTGTTTCTGGATGGGCTGGCGTTATTCTTCCGTCGCGGCCGCAAGCGGAAACGCAGGCGGCGTCCGAAGTCAGCCCGGGCTACGAGCCAAGCATACTTATTAAGCGCGCGAACTGACGGCCGCCGAAACTGCCGCCGAGGGACGCCGAGGATCGACGCCAGGGACTGAAGGCAGAGCTGCAAGAGGTGCCAGGTGTACCAAGCGGTTGAAGTGCAACCATTCCAGGGGCGAGACCACCGGGAAGGCAACCGAATTGCACTTTGTCGCGCCAGGCGCCAAAAGTAAACGAGCCACCCGAGCAAAGCACGGCATAGCGTGGGGCTGAGCAAGCAGCCTGGCGTACCTGTGTCGCATGCCAACAGTGGCAACCTCAGGTGGTTGAACAAGAAGGCCAAGCCACTCATGAGCAATCCACGTGGAGGTGCATCCCACCATTGCAAGGCGGCAGCTGCAAACGCGGCCAGGCTATGGCAGTGTCACAGGACCAGGAACATGCGAGCATGCTAGCTGGAGCTGGTCGACGAGCACGTCACTGGGACGCCAGGGTTACCTCACCAGGCTCAAAGGAGCCCGCACCACCAACAGACGCCAGGGACTGAGGGCGAACGCCCGGGAGCCGCAACCAGGCTGTTGTCGGCGGCAGGGCGGCGGTGGCCAGGGGGGGGCCAGACGGCGCCAAAAGGGGCGGCGCAGCAAACAGCTCAAGGGTGAGAGTTCCCCAAGCCAAGTGCAAGCGGCGCGGCATGCGTGAGTCGACTGACGTCACGAAGGGGGGGGGCAGCTCACCGGGGGTACCAGGCCAGGCAACCGGGTGCGGGAGAAGGCCAGGTTGAAAACAGCAAACGGCCAGGGCCGTGTGATGGCACGCTGCGCCCCGCCCCAGCAAGGGGCATCGTGCCAGGTATTAAAAGCGCCGTGGAGCCTGATCCCCCAGGGCGGGGTCGAAGCCATGCGCAGTGCAGGGACCGTCACCGGTCGGCGGGGAGCCACCTCACCAAGGATATCAGGCCAGGCTGTGGCCGGGTGCGGGAGAAGGCCAAGGTGAAAACAGCTAAAGCAAACGGCCAGGGCCGTGTGATGGCACGCTGCGCCCCGCCCCGCTCCAGCAAGGGGCATCGTGCCAGGTATTGACAGCGCCGTGGGGCCTGATCCCCAAGGGCGAGGGGCGAAGCCATGCGCAGTGCAGGGACCGTCACCGGTCGGCGGAGGAGGAGAGGTGGGGGGGAGCTGCGCCAGGAAACGCAAGTGGCTAACGGCCACACTGTCAGTTTGCACAAAGAAGAGGGGGAGGGAGGGGATACGCTGAACGTGATGCCAGGAAGTGGGGTTTGGCACTGGGGTGGCTAACGGCCACACTTGCTGGTCTCTGGTGTCTGGCTAACGGCCATGCCTTCTGGTGGCGTTTCTGACGCATCCAGCGAGTGTGCCAGGGAAGATCGCGTCCACTTGGACCGCTTGCCGTCGTGGTCTGCGCCGTCGCTGTTCCGTCTGCCTCTCTTGCCTCAGTCATGCCAGTTACGGTCGTGCCAGGACGGCCTTGAGCCGTGCCAGGACTGGTGCTGGGAGCCAAAGCTACACCCCTTTGACTGATGGGACCCCTTGCCAGAGGTCGCTCTGCTATGCTTCTCGCGTACGGCAGGCCAGTCGACTTTGAGCCCCAGCTGCCGATCCATTGCGTAGGCGTCGGAGCCGCATCTGCGCCAGGCGTCCAGGAAGCCATTACACGTGCAATCGTCGTTCAGGAAGGGGTTGCTTTTGGACTTCCCTTTGGCGCGGTTAGCTTGCTGCTGCGTGTAGCCGTGCCAGATCCCGTTGAACGTGCCTCCTAGACGCTTCTGGAGGCGCGCGATCTTCTCGGCTAGGCCCTCTCCGTGGCGATTCAGGTTGACGTTGCCCAGGTGCTCACGGTACATGCTCTCGCCTGTAACGGGATCCAGGAGATGGTCGAAGGCACTGCATTGGCTGGTGTTACGCGAAGCGTCTAGAATGTCATGACCCCCCAGGGCCGACCAACTCTGGGGGGATGGCAACGTCGGATGACATTTCTGCCGTCAGGGTCTCAGGGTCCCGGGAGGAGGAAGAGGAGGAGGAGGAGGAGGAGGAGGAGGACGAGGCAGGAGGAAGAGAGGGAGGAGGACTAACGCCACAGCATCTTCGGTGGAGGAGGAGGAGGGCGGCGGAGGAGGAGGAGGAGGCGGAGGAGGAGGAGGAGGGAGAGGAGGAGGAGGAGGAGGAGGAGGAGGAGGAGGAGGAGGAGGAGGAGGAGGAGGATAGCGCGGGAGGACGGCGGAGGTCCTCGCGGACCCGCTCATATAGCTCTCTTCTTCGATCCAGGTGGTCCGAGGGTGTCCAAGAGTGGGGCGTCCAAGAGGGGGAGGGCGCAAATCATAGCTGGCGGCATGTGAGCGACGATCCAACACGGGTCTCACGCGAGATGCCATAGCGACCTTACGCGATGGCTTACGCGGACCGCCAACGAGTTACGCTACGCTGGAAGCGAGGGCGCTTACGCGAGACCTTACGCGAGCAACTTACGCGCCAATGTCGGCGCAGATGACTCCGTTCTTTTGCGTCGCACATGTACGCGGCCCAGTATGGGGGGCCAGAGACGTATTGAAATAAGAAGAGTCGCCATCACATCTGGGGAGACATCGTGGCCCCCGCCATGCTACCCCCCCTAGTCATCGCCCCCTCTTGGCCGCCGCCCCCGAGTGGTGGTGCTGCATTTAAAGCGCGAGTTGATGGGAGGCGATAAATAAGGGAGTGTCTTTCTTTTCGGGGCCCTCGAGGCCCCCTGTTGGGCCCGAAAAGGCCACTCTATAGGGACCCTCAAGGGCCCCTTGTCGGCAACCCTCGCTGCCCCACATTCCGCGCCCCCCAAACATTTCCTCTTGCCCCTCTCCCAGGCCCTCCCCGTCCGGCCCATCGGCGACGCGCGGGGGCGGGGTTCATCCAAGGCGGCGCCGGGTGGGGGTCACCGCCAAAGGGGTCGCCATCGCCTCCCCCCGGGACACCCCAGAACTCCCGAGGACGCCCCGAGCAGTCCAAAGCCTCATCGATCATCGATCATTCTCCTCCTCCTCCTCCTCCTCCTCCTCCTCCTCCTCCTCCTCCTCCATACTCCTCCTGCTCCTCCTCCTCCTGCTCCTCCTCCTCCTCCTCCTCCCTCCTCCTCCCTCCACCTCCCTCCTCTTCCCTCCTCCTCCTCCCTCTTCCTCTTCCTCCTCCTCCTCCTCCTCCCTTCTCCTCCTGCTCCTCCTGTTCCTCCTCCTCCTCCTCCCTCCTCCGCCCTCCTTCTCCTCCCTCCTCCTCCTCCTCCTCCTTTCCTCCTTCTCCTCCTCCACCTCCTCCTCCTCCCTCCTCCTCCCTCCTCTTCCCCAACCCTCGGTCTCGAGAAAGAATTGTTGCCCCCCCTGCTGGTGACCACACTTGTCTAGAAGAAACCACCGCATTAACATAGACTTCCGGAAACTTGCCAAACACCTCGCGAGGTGATTTTTCACGGCGGGGAGGAACGTCGCGGAAGCCAAAGAGATCTCGACACCGCTACTTCCTGGACCTGTCCCAGGGTATGTTCGGACGACACCTTTTAGGCGAATCCAGCGGTGGCGACGAGGGTCTCCCAGGAAGGCCCAGAAAGGGGAGAACGAGGCATGGGGGGATGTCTGGGACGGCCAAAAAGGGGAGTGTCCAAGAAGGGGGGGGAGGCGCAAATCATGGCCGGCGGCATGTGCGCGGCTCAGGTGGGCGGAGGGCGCGGGCGTATTGAAATAAGAAGAAGCGCCATGACATCTGGGGAGATATCATGGCCCCACCATGATACCCCACCTTTGTCATCACCCCCTTCTTGGCCGCCCGCGCAAGCAACTGGCGCAGCACGCTGGGGGCATCGGCTGCCGGCACCAGGGGCCGAGCCACTTCCCAGAGTGGCAATCGAATGGTCAATCGTTGCTTACACTGTTCCCCGACACCCGACGTCATGTTTTTTTCGCAACGTCGACCCCCCGAAGTCTGGACCACTTCCCTGGGACCGGTTCTTCATCCAGAATAATTTGTTGACGGTCCCGACGCCCAGGAAAGGCCCCGGGAGGCCGAAAATGGCGAAAAACCTCCCGTCGCGATTTTTTCACCACGCGACGGGGTCTGGGTTTGGGGGGGGATGGTCCCTGCCCCATGGGGCGCCCGCGCAGGCAGCTGGCGCAGCACGCCGGGGGCATCGGCTGCCGGCACCAGGGGCAGGGGGCGGTCTTCGCGGCCCTGCCGGGCCGCTCGGCCTCGGGGGTGCCGGCCGTGCGCCGAGTGCGCTGCCCCTCGCCCTGCTCTCTGGGGCGGCGCCCCTCCTCCTCCGTCCTCCTCCTCCTC